GGTTTTTTTCATTGAAAGCTCTGTTATTGTGGTTTTTTCTTTTAAGACAAGAGATGTTAATGTGTGAGTTGTTCTTTCTAAACTAAAACCTCAGTATTCAGGTTTAATTGCAGTGTTGGCACTTTGCAATTAATAAGTGGGTTTTGGGTTGCAGTTTGGACACTCAGTCTCTAAAAGGTTCACCATCACTGTCCTATAGCAACTACTAAAAAAAATAACAAAAGAAATAGTGAAGAAATCATTAAAGGAAATGAAATGGTACACTAGGAAATATTCACTTAAGGCAGAGGAATTAAGGAAGGAACAGGAACAAAAGAGATATACAGAAAAAAAAAGTAGCATAATAGACCTAAATGTCAACAATAATATTAAATGTAAAAGGATCAAAAAATCTAACCAAAAGTGGAACATAGATTGTTCCACTAGGGAAAAAGAAAAGTTTAACCTTATGGTGTCTACATGAGACAAATTTTAGATTCAAAGATACAAAACAAGTTGAAAGAAAAAGGATGACAAAGGATATATCATACAAAAAACACCCATTAGAATGCCAGAGTGGCTATAGTAGGTAACATCAGACAAAACTTTAACAGAATACATTTTAGTAGAGATAGAGTGAGCTGTCTTACAATAAAAACAGGATTAGTGTACTAGGAAGATAAACTAAGCATAAATATGCATGTGTATAATAAGAGAGTTCTACCATACACATAACTAGAGGGATAAATGGACAACTTAATAGCAAAACTTGGAGAATTTGATAATTTTGATATTTCAAAAGTAGACAGGACAATTAAGCAGAAGATCAGCAGGGAAACATGTGACTTGAATTCAACACCATAAACTACACAGACCTAACCAGCACCTACAGAACAATTCAACCACTACAGAACACATATTCTTCTCACCTGCACCTGGCAGATCCTCCAGGACCGACCTGTAGGAACCATGTGTGAGACCATAGAAACATAAAAATATTGATAAGCATGGAAATAGACATTCTGATTGGTAGGAATATGGGAATCTGTAATGTTTCATTTTGCTTTGCTTTAATTGCTAATTTTCCTATAATAAGCAAAGTAAGAAAATGACAACTGATGATTAGTAATGGAGAAGCATGAACCCAGAGAGAAGGAAAATTGCTTCCTCTCATGTGGACTATTGAATATTTGCCACACAGCCCGTGACTGTGGCCATGCAGGTAGTGTCTTGGGGCATGGGTAGCCCTGAAATGTAGGCAAATCTGGCCAAGGCCAAGCCAGGACTTCCGCTTAGCCAACCTCAAGCACACCTCCCTGTTGGATGCATCCAGGATCCCCTGTGACCCCACCTCGCTGAGGATATTTCAGGCCAAGACTACGAAATTAGCACAGAGCCATCTGTACTGGTCAGGACAAGTTTTTTCTGTCTTGGTCCCTGTCCTTTTGCCTTGAGCCAACTCAAAGACAGACAGGGAAGCCAGAGGATGCCTCTATGCATATAGAGGATATATGTACCTTCAGCATGTTTTGACCCAGGTGCGATGTTCGGGACACACACCTTTTCTCAGGCTCACCACGAGCCTGGTCTAGAGTTTGAAGAAAAGAAAAAGGAAACAGTAAACTGCAAAATCTCAATTTCTGGCTTCCCAAATTTTCGATTCCCAGACATATGGGCCCAATGGGGAATTCCAGGACCGTGGTATGGACCTAAACACAAGCCAGCCTGAAAATCAGGGTCGGAATGATGCGATTCAGGACCTAAGCATGGCCCTACACCAAGGGTATGAGATGGATCTGCATGTCGTGTAATTAGAAATCAACATGAATACAGTGCTCTTCATTTACACAAATCAGCTCTGTCTCTCAGCCCTGGGAGCAGCTCTCCTGCCATGGCCCCTCTCCCCCTGAAAATGTACGCCTGCCCCAGATCCGTCTCCAGCCCCTCTGTGGTCCGGAGCACCTCCCCGCTGCTGAGCCAGTTGCTGTCTGCGGTCGTGCTGGACAGACCAGAGACACCGACAGATGAGGGCCTCTGCAGCTTTGCAGTCCCTCATGCCCTGACCTCACTCGTCCCTAGCCGCAGCTTCCAAACCAGCATCACTTCCAGGGGCATGGACACAGCAGCCAAGTTCCCCGGAACTGGGGCTGCCGCAGTTAGGGTTGCTGGCTCTGGGGCTGGGATTGGCACTGTGTTTGGGAGCCTCACATCAGTTAGGCCAGGAACCCTTCTCTGAAGCAGCAGCTCTTCTACACCATTCTGGCTTTCACCCTCTCAGAGGCTGTGGGGCTCTTCTGCCTGATGGTGGCCTTTCTCATCCCTTCTCCCCCTCACCTAGTTCTTTCTCCCGTGTCTCATCTGCCTATGTGTTTCCCTCTCATACACTTCCCCGGGCTTCCTGGAAGAGTGACCAGCTCAGGGTTTGACAGAGGGAAGACAAATAAACACTGTATTAATAAGGTGAAAAAAATAAAACAAAATAAAATAAAACAAAACATAGGAGAAAGGGGTTAGTGTTGGGGGCAGGGGGCGCCAAGGGGAGAGATGGCAGTACGCGGAGCCCGGGACAGGGTGAGGAGCACAGGACTGAGGTGGAGCTGACTCAAGCTGAGTGTGGCAGGGGGTGCTGGCTGGAAGGGGCTGGTGATGGAAGGGCCAGCAGCCAGGGCTCCACTCCGAAGGAAGGGGTTCTAGGCCTTGGCTGCTGGCAGTGTGGGTCTGGCCGGCTCACCAGGGAGTCCAGGTCCACGAGGGTGGCGTTGGGGCCCAGGAATGACTCTGCGGTCTTCCACGTGGGGGACGTGGGGGCTGTGGGTGGGGGCTCCCCAGGGCAAAGAGCCCAAGACCCCACTCATGTCGAAGGCCCCTGGGCTGCAGGTGGGTGCCTCTCCTGCTAGCAACTCCATCTCCTCCGTGCTGCTCGCGGCTGGGACTGGGATGATGTGGAGATGCTGTCACACACCTGTCTGGTGACTGGGCAGGGGCGGCTCCTACCATGAACTCAGTGGACAGAGGATCAGCGTGGCCTCTGCATATCCCTGGGCTGCTCATGGCATAGCTGAGTCTAGGCTTCTGCATGGGGGCCAGGGGAACAACACAGTGTCCCCATCCACAGAACAGGCAGTACTGCCTCTCTTCACCTGGGCTCACTGTCCTTCCAGCGCCAACTCGGTGGCTTCTTGATGGAAGCCCTCACATGCGGACATGCCAGGAGGTGAGCAGAGAGAAGCTCCAGGCCATGGAGGTCTGTGGGATAAAGTCACAGCTGTGCTCAACAAAGCCCACCCTCACCCAGCCCCCACATCTACCTGCACCCAGTTGGGAGGCTGTGGTCTGGGGGCTCCAAGGTGCCCAGCACTCCCTGGTCCTAGGGGAGCCTCCCTGGGGCAGAGAGACACAAGTCAGGGAATCCCCCTCCTGCTACTGCTCTGTCTTCCTCCCACTGAATCTCAGCTCCTGATGCCCACACAACCTTCTGTGCTGCACACCCCCCCCCCACAGGATGCATGGGTGTCCTTGACCTCTTCTTTCCCTTCAGTTCCCTAGACAGGGCTGCAGGGTGACTCACCATGGCTTCCTCCTTTGTGGCTGATCCCCCATGAGTAGGATTGCCACGTCTACGGAGTCACTTCTCAAGGATCTGTACTAAAAATGCAAGGAGATGTGTGGAGTGGACACATACCAGACATGTGGAAACATCAGATGCTATTGTTGGCTGCGGTCACCCCCACCCTCCTCTGCAGTAGACCCCACAGCAAGTCCTCCTGTCCATCTGAGACCCTTCCCTATGACCATGACTCCTCCATCTCTCTGCCTTCCTTTCCTCTCTGACAATTGAAAAGACATCATCAGGAACAACAGCCCACTCACAGGAAGCTCTTGAACCTCCCTCCCTCCTTGAGGGTTGTCTGGGTCTCTGCTGGGTACTACTTACATTGGGGCCACCCTGTTTTGGTGGCACCCTGACGGTGCAGGCAGCAGCAGCACAGGGCTGTCAGGCAGCCTCTGATGCTCCTCTTCAGAGCCTTCCAGCATCGCCTCCCTCTGCTGCTAGGGGTGGAGGTGGGGCTGGAGCCAGAGCAGGAAGCCCCAGGGCCAGGCTGGCAGTACACCCTGGGAGTGGCAAGGATAGGCTGGCAGGACATGCCGGGAGTTGGGGTCCTGGGGATGGGAATGGGTGGCTGGGAGTCTCTGCCGCCCTGCCTTCCTGTGGCCTTCGCCCCAGGAAATAAGAGGCCCATGAAGGTGACAGGTGCGGTAGCACTCCTCCAGGGGATGTGAGATGAGGGTGCAGGAGCTGTTGAGGTTGATGCTACTTTCTCTTCATCTGGATCCTCATCCTCAGGTGCACACACAGGGTTCCCACTGATACTTAAGCACGGCCCCTGGAGTGCCAGGCTCTTCAACAGCAGGAATGTGGCCATCTCGTTGTTGCACGCCTTTCTCCTCACTGAGTCAATGACCTTCAGTGGGTTAAATCCCACGCCATCCATAACGTTGATGATTGCCATTTTGGGGGCCATAGGGAGCAGCTCAGGAGGACTGGGGGGGTGGGACACCTTGGAGCCACTGGTGCTGCAGCACCTCCTGCACTGTTGGCCGCACCCTGGGGTTGGAGTCCAGGAGGTTCCAGGTGAGATCTTGTGCATCCCGGGAGATGGACTCGGGGCAAGAGCACCTCCCAGATAGCACACTTTGAATTATCTGTGGATTATCCCCATCAAAGGCGGGCTGCCCCATGAGCAGTTCATATAAAATGATGCCAAGGGCCCAAACATCCAGGGGAGGGCCTTCATACCTCCCATGCAAGAGCTGCTCTGGGGCATAGTATTTCAGAGTGCCAGCAACCCCGGCCACCTCCTGCCCAGGGAGGAACCGGAACCCCACCCAAAAGTCAGAGATTTTGGCGTGACCTTGGGAGTCCATCAAAACATTGTGGGGTTTGAGGTCCCCGTGTACAATTCCCTGGGCATGACAATAATCCACGGCTCCCGCAATATCTTGAAATATCCCTTGGGCCTTCTCCTCCGGCAGCCTGTGGTTTTCAGTACTGCAGATCTGTTGCCACAGGTTTCTCCCCATCACATACTCTAGGACCAGGTATACTTCGTCCTTGGTTTCGATGACCTCCAGGAGCTGTATGATGTTAGGGTGCTGAAGGTCCTTCAGGATCCCCACCTCCGATACAATGCAGGCTGCTGGCACCTTTGCCTTCACTAACTCCTTCACAGTGACCAGCATCCCTGTGTCATAGTGTTCAGCCAGGAAGATCCTACCAAAGTCACCTTGGGCAAAGAGGGCCAGCACCTCATAGTTTTCCTGGAGGCTGTGATTACGGGACCTGTCGGTGAGGTCCAGCCAAGATGTTCCCTCATGCCACTCAGCACCCACCCTGTATATCTCCATGGAAACAGAAGCTCCACTCTCCACACCACCAACCCGATCACCAAATCACCACCAACACTCGCCGTCCAACTCCTACGTCACCCACAAGCGATCCACCTGAGCCTCGGCCTTATATAGCTAACAACTGTGACCTCACACTGGGTTCTGTGAGGTAGCAGAACCAATGGGCCCAGGCAGATCTGGCCACACACCCCAGGGCCACCTCACTCTTGCCCACAAGGGTTTGTTTGTCATAAAAAAGGTTACACAGTCCTTGCTTGTGTGGGTTATGGAGATTTTAAGTTTTTAAGTTTTTTTTTAAGTAAGTTTTTAAAATGAAAATCCGTAGGATGCTCCAAAATCCTTTTCCTTTCTGCTCTGAGAATCTGTAATAGCTTTTGTTTTTAGAGATCTCATGATGTCTACGCTCAACATATCCAATTCCCTTTTCTTTAAATTCTTACTGGTCTCAGAGTGATGCTACAATTTCATTGCCATTAGAATAATGTAATGTTCTGTTTATGAAACCTGTCAAGGTACATTAATGCCTATAAAGCTGGCAGGAAGATACCTATCATAATCACTTCCCCCAAAGACAATTGATAGAGAAGTGCTATGCAATTAGACAGGCCCTTGCCTTGCCTCCTCCCCTCCTCCCCCACAGAATGTTTTGTTTTGGAAACGTCAGTTTGTGCTGCTGGGCTCCTGCCCAATGCAGCAAAATGGTTTGTGACTGAACTGTGTGACCTTTCATGGATGTTCTGTTAAGCTCCGCCCCCTC